CTGGTTTCAGATCCCCGGAACCCACATATAAGCAGCTTGTGGTAGTGCATTCTGTAATCCCATTCCTGGTACAGTGAGATGTGAGGTGAAAACAAAGAATCCCCAGAAGACTGATGACTGGATAGCCAGGTGTGTACAGAGGCTAACAGGGGGCCTTGCCTTAAACAAGGTCAGATAACATCTGAGATTTTTATCTGACTTTAACATGTAGGCCATGATATACGTATTGTTTTCACTTTCACACACCTTCAACACACACACACACACACACCCCACACACAGGCAGCAAAAGTTTAAAATATTAAGATGCACATTAGCTAACTCACTGTATCAATCAAATACAGAATAAGAATACAAACATATCCAGGTTATGTTGAAAATGTATCTCACAAACAATAAAAGCTATTCCTTTTATCTCTCAAATCAAAACAATAGCATGGATAGTAAATTCAGACCTCTTCAAAGATGGTTTCCAATGAAGACTTCCATTTACTATTTCATAAACAAGATTGAAGAATCATAAAAAAATAATTTTAAAAGGATTAGAAAGATCTCCTACAAAGAGTCCCACTTTCAACAAATAACTTAAAAACACTGGTAAGCAGAATAATTTGTACAATATTTTTTCCTGGGGAGATATGAGTAGATGTCTAGTTACTACAGCCCAAACAAGTAATATCAACAGACCCCACAGCTGGGCTATGTTCTTCCTCCAGGAATTGTCCAACTGAGGTCTCTAAGCTTGTCTAATCTCCTTCAGGGAGTCTTTGCATCTCCACCAGTTCTTTGCCTAAGTCTTTGAACTCTGTGCCCTCTTTAATCCTTCTGCAGCCATCTGTAACCTACATTCACACACACACACACACACACACACACACACACACACACGTGAAGTAATGTACAATGTGAGACTTAATATTAATAATTAAGAATGGCAGTCCAACCCAGTTTCAAAGAAAAAGAATCAAAATTACTTGGTAAATTCCACATAAGACTGCCAAATTAGCTTGTGAGTTTATTGTTATTCATTAAGTTCTGGCTTATGGGAAGACACAAATGTGTCTGTCTCTAGGTAGTAATGTATAAACACATGCCAATGTTTTTGGCATAGTGTAATCACGATGAGGAAAATATTAGTTAACTTTGGGTTAATCACTGAAAAATATTAAAAGTAGATTGATAAATAATGTAATGTAAAGGGAAAATAAAATCAGCAGACTAAATCAACCATATTACCAAAATTCTCAGTTAAGGTGAAAAGGAATAAAAAAGATAAAATAGAAACAAAACACAAATAACAAAAACTAACAATAAAACATTAAAAATAGCCGAGCAGTGGTGGTGCACACCTTTAATCCCAGCACTCGGGAGGCAGAGGCAGGCGGATCTCTGTGAGTTCTAGGCCGGGCTGGACCAACAGCCTCCAAAACAATACAGAGAAACCCTGTCTCATAAAAACCAAAAAAAAAAAAACATTAAAAATATTAAATTAAAAATGGGTGAGGGATGAGAATTTCAACAATGAAGTTACAATAAATATAATAGAAATTAAATAGCTGTTTTTTGTAGTAATCAGAAAATTTAATTTTTACTGAGACAGGCTCTCATTTATCCCATGTTGACACTAAAACTCACTGGATAGCAAAGGCTGACTTCAACTCCTGATTCTCCTTCATCCAATTCCCCAAAACTGGGAGTACAAGCATGTACTACCATACCAAGATCAATGCAATTATACAAATTTGACACTAATTAAGCTGTCTCTCAATCACATAGTTCAAATGTTCAACTTTCAACTGTGCCTGCAAACTGCTGAAAAAAAACACTAATGTAGAATGTTTGTGATATGGGAACATTGGGGTTCTTAGAGAGCAATTGAACTTTTATCAACACTAGGTGAGCATAGCTTAGGGGCTAGGGTTCTGGAAACCGGCTAGTCTATGAAGCTATCCTGAGCCAGTGGCTTTTGTGTTCTGTCTCACAGACTACAGAGGTTGAATTGAATTGCAGAAGAAAAACAGAGCATGGATCTGGTAAGAATTACCAATGCCAAAGTAATGGCCTCTGTGGGAGCAGCTTAGAATTTCCAGCCATAGACTCTAAAAAAATTAAATAATTAAAAAAAACCCACCTGTGATGATGTTCAAACAATTCAAAGGATACAGAAAAGTGCTCAAGAGCAGAAAAACAAAAGCTTAACAAAACAAGGAAGTAAATCCAGAATATAGAAATGAATTAAATAAAGAGAATTACTGAAGAAAAAACAAAATTAAATGGTGACTAAAAAGCTCAATGAGCCAAATAAAATGAACATTGGGATGTCTCTAGAGCATAATGGATCATACAGAGAATGCTAAGAGCCTGGGTAGAACATGAAAAATCTTTGGGGTATCACAAAAGATCAGGTCTGTAAATTGGGTGGCTAAAAGAAAGGCATAGAAAGTATTTCAATAGAATTATAGAAGAAAATCTGCCAATGACAGAGGATACTGGAAGGAATACTAAAGAGTAAAGGAAAAAATAAGTACACCCTAGAGTTCATAGAGGAAAAAAATAAGTCTAAAATACTTAGTAAAAGAAGTATGCAACAAGACACAAAAGAAACAAAATGACAGGAATTATACATGTCTTTCAATAAAACTCTAAAGATTAGTAGTTTTAATCCTCATCCCCCCAATAAATACACAGACTAGCACACTGGATATAAATAAGACCCAACTTTTTTGCTTCTACCAAGAAACACACATTACTATCAAAGATATATAGCCCATTAGGGTAGAAAAAAAGGAAAAAGATACTCCAAATAAAGGAAACTGTGGACAGGCAGAGATAGAACTTCTAATAGCTGAGGAAACTGACTTCAAACCAAAGATAACCAGAGTGCAGAGACGAGATAATTTCAGACTTATTAAGAAGAAAACCCTTCATGAGTAAATTATAATTCTAAACATATGTACACCAAACATGGGTGCACACAGTTTCATAAAGCAAGTACTACTAGATGTAGAGACACAAGTTAACCTTAACTCACTCATAGTGGGTGAATTCAACACCCCACTATCACCAGTGTACAGGTAAATGGACAGACAATGAACAGAGAAACAGAAGTTAGTGTCATCATAAATAAATGAACCCTACTGAAATCTGTGTAACATTCCCCAAAAATGCTAAAGAATGCACACACTTTTCAGCAGTCCATGGAATTTCATTCAAAATATACTACAAAATGTGACAAAAATCAACAAATACAGGAAAATGGAAATAATGTCTGAATTCTTTTTTTTAAGTTTTATTTATTTATTTATATTTCAATTTTAAATAGCTTGTTTTACATGTCAATCCCAGTTCCCTCTCCCTCCCCTCCTCCATCACCCCCAACATCCCCCCATCCTCCTACCCTATTGCCAATTCCTTCAGCATAGGGGATATCTAAAGTCTATCATTTCACACAGGGTAGGGTCCAGGCACTTCCCTAAGAGTCCAGGCAGAGAGAGCAACCCTCTTTGTGTTATGGACACACGATGTCTGTTAGTATTCGAGGGATAAACACTGATCCACTGCTCAGGACCCCATAGGTAGCCCAGGTCTCCTCATCGACTCTCACATTCAGGGGGTCTGGATCGGTCCCATGCTGGCCTCCCAGCTGTTGGTCTGGGGTCCAAGAGCTCCCTCCTGTTTGGATCAGCTGTCTCTGCTGGTTTTGCCAGCCCATTCTTTGCAAATTTGCTCTTCGCTCCTCTCTCTCTGTCGCTTGGTTCCTTGGGTTCTATTCAGTATAACTGTGGGTGTTTGCCTCTGCTTCTATCAGTCACTAGATGAAGGCTCCAGGATGGTTATAGACATCAGGAATGGGCATTCGAGGTGGTCTCTACACTATTGCTTAGCTTGCCAATTGATGTCATCTGTTTAGATCACTAGAGGTCACAAAGGTGCCTGATCTATCTTCTAACCTATGATTCCCTCTTCCCCCTACCTTACCCCCGCCAGTCAACTTTCCTGTTCCTCCATGTCCTACTCTCTCTTCCACTTCTCCCCTTCTCTATTTCCCAGGTCTCCCTCACCCCCATCCCTCGCCGTATTCCCCATCTCTTCAGAGGATCTTGCCTCATTTTTCTTCTCCTGAGTTCCATGCATATCTTTTAGGTTCTTTCCTGTTTCCCAGACTCTCTGTCAGTGGAAGTGCAGACTGGCACTCTCCTGATCCATGTTTTAAATCCATATATGAGTGAGTGCATACCATATTTGTCTTTTTGTGACTGGGTTACCTCACTCAGGATGGTTTCCTCCAGTGCTATCCATTTACCTGCGAATTTCAAGATTCCATTGTTTTTTTCTGCTGACTAATACTCCATTGTGTAAATGTACCATATTTTCTCTATCCACTCTTCAGTTGAGGGGCATCTAGGTTGCTTCCAGGTTCTGGCTATTACAAATAATGCTGCTATGAACATAGTGGAGCAGATGCCCTTGTTGTATGAATTTGCCTCCTTTGGATATATGCCTAAGAGTGGAATTGCTGGGTCTTGTGGTAGATTGATTCCCATTTTCCTGAGGACTCTCCATACTGCTTTTCAAAGTGGCTGTACGAGTTGGCACTCCCACCAGCAGTGGAGGAGTGTTCCCCTCTCTCCACATCCTCTCCAGCATAAATTGTCTTCAGTGTTTTTTATTTTAGCCATGTGACAGGAGTAAGATGGTATCTCAGAGTTGTTTTGATTTGCATTTCCCTGATGGCTAAGGATGTTGAGCACTTTCTTAAGTGTCTCTTGGCCATTTTAGCCTCCTCTATTGAGAATTCTCTGTTTAGTTCTGTACCCCACCTTTTGATTGGATCCTTTGGTGTTTTGCAGACTTGCTTCTTGAGTTCTTTGTAAATTTTGGAGATTAGCCCTCTGTCAGATGTGGGGTCAGTGCATATCTTTTCCCATTCTGTGGACTGCCTTTCTGTCTTGTTGACTGTGTCCTTTGCCTTACAGAAGCTTTTTAGTTTCATGAGGTCCCATTTGTTAATTGTCGATCTCAGTGTCTGTGCCACTGGTGTTGTGTTCATGATAAATGTCCTAGAGAGATCAGGCATAACAGGAACATATCTGAATATAATAAAAGCAATATACAGTAAACCAACAGCTAACATCAAACTAAATGGAGAGAAACTCAATGCAATTCCTCTAAAATCAGGAACAGACAAGGCTGTCCACTCTCTCCACATCTCTTCAATATTGTACTTGAATTCCTAGCTACAGCAATAAGACAACAAAAGGAGATAAAGGGGATACAAACTTTCACTGTTTGCAGATGATATGATAGTTTACATAAGTTACCCAAAAAACTCCACAAGCGAACTCCTAGAGCTGATAAACACCTTCAGCAAAGTGGCAGGATACAAGGTAAACTCAAAAAATCAGTGGCCCTATTATATACAGACGATGAAATGACTGAGAAAGAAATAAGAGAAACCTCACCCTTTAAATAGCCATAAACAGCATCAAATATCTGGGGCCAATGTTAACCAAGGAAGTGAAAGACCTGTATGTCAAGAACTTTGTGTCTTTAAAGAAAGAAATCAAAGAGGATTCCAGAAAATGGAAAGATCTCCCATGCTCTTGGATTGGTAGGATCAACATAATAAAAATGGCAATCTTGCCAAAAGCAGTCTACAGATTCAATGCAATCCCTATCAAAATTCTGGTACAATTCTTCACAGACCTGGAAAGAACATTAATCAACTTTATATGGAAAAACAAAAGGCCCAGGATAGCCAAAACAACCCTATACAATAAAGGAATTTCAGAAGGCATCACCATACCTGACTTCAAGCTCTATTATAGAGCTGTAGTCCTGAAAACAGCTTGGTATTGGCACAAAAATAGGCAGGTAGACCAATGGAACCGAATCAAAAACCCTGATTTTAACCCACACACCTATGAACACTTGATTTTTGACAAAGTAGCTAAAACTATACAATGGAAAAAAGAAAGCATCTTCAACAAATGGTCCTGACATACCTGGGTACTGGTATGCAGAAGACTGCAGATAGATCCATGTTTATCACCTTGTATAAAACTTAAGTCCAAATGGATCAAAGATCTGAACATAAATCCATCCACACTGAAACTTTTAGAAGAGAAAGTGGGAGATACTCTTCAAAGAGTTGGTACAGGAGACCACTTCCTGAAAATAATGTCTGAATTCTATCTTACCACCATTGAATTAAACTATACATCAGCAGTAATAGAAACTAAAGAAAGTACACAACATTGGGAAACTAAACAACCCACTATTTAATGATGAATAAATCACTAAAAACAAGAATGAAACAGACACAAATGGACACTCTAGTCTACTCTTTTTAAAGATAGGACTTGAAGTTTTAGCTATAACAATAACAGAGCAGGCAACAAAAGAGCAATAGAGGAGAAGAAGGCACAGCATCCCTTTTTGTAGGTGACACTCTTCTGTACACATGGGACCCTAAATACTCAGCCAGGAAACTTTTATAGCTTGTAAACATGTTGGCGGGATACAAAATTAATATACAAAAATCAGTGGCATTCCTATATTCCAATGATAAAATGAAACCAGGAAAACAACCCATTCACTATAGCCACACACTAAAATATTAAAATACCTGGGAATAAATCTAGTCTAAGTAGTCATGTTCTTCTCTAGAACATGAGTGCTGACATTGAGACCCTCTAGACAGCCTGCAGTGGCATTTGACCCAGTATTGAAAACTCCTTCAGTACTTCCAAAGTTGACCTACCTGTCTCATTTTGGCCCCTGGAAGTATATTAATCAATTTCTCCTACAACTGGCACTAAATTTGTTCTAAAATTTTATACAAAACAAATTGAAATAATTGACAGATGATTGAAAAATAGCCAAAATTATTAACATAAAGAAATATGCTTAGTGATTAAGTGCAATTTAGATATAAAGTCACAGGAACATACTTGAAGTGTATTCCTGCCTGGAAAGACAATAGAAATAATTTTAGTTCTGTTCTTATAAAATATTACATCATTTGGAGTGTTTATTTTATAACACCCATCTTGAGAAGCATTTCTGCCTATATTTGGAATTTGAATATTTCTGAAAAGGGATGAAATGTGTTAATATCTCCACATAGCTTGTTATAGATGCTTCAGAAATCCTGAATCAGTATTCTAAGAACAACATGCTGAATGAGCATCCTCAGCTGGGCACATGGAGAACTAGAGTTCTGATTGAAGGAACCATAATAATGTAGTGAATGAGAACAAGTGAATGCCTTAAATATTGTTTGCAGTTCGCAAATTAGATCTACACAGGCAAGAAAAAATGTTTCTGTACTTTCCTTCTACAATTAAGCTCAGTTTGTTAAAATATTTCCCATAAATAAGGGAATTGAGACTCTCAAACCTCGTACTGATTTTGGCAAAATTAATTTTCAAATAACCTTGATTCTGAGGCATACAATTCCAAATCAAAGCCATTTACAGTGCAACTTGGCAGACCGCAATCCAAAATCAGTACTCTTTAGAATTTCATCATCCTCAAATGTGAAAAACAAAATCCAAGTGATTTTTCTTTTTCTTTTTGAAAACTTTTATAATTAAAAATTCATGTATCATTTTAGATGGCAAATGCATAGAAAAAATTCATTAAAAGAGAAACTCTACCAGTCAGGGTCATGGCCTAAACAGGTGGTACACTCAAATTGGTAATTTGAAGTAAGTTTAATAAAGAGATTTGTTATGGACATATAGACATAAGATGGGCTGCTGCAGAGTCTTAGAGTATAGTCTGGTGAGTGAAATGGAGGAGACCATTAGCATGTGGAAAAGGAATCTCTATGAGAGAGCACCATCTTTGGAAGCCCACACAACCACAGAAGGATGAAGTCTGAAGAATACATATCCCACCACACTTACTGTTCAGACTCCTTCCTTTCCTCTGATTTCTTCTTTATGTCTAAAGTCTGCACTTTGCCCGAAGGTACAGGTTTGTTCCATAACATGTTGAAGTACAGAGCATCATTGACTCTGGAGAGCAAGTATTAAGAATTCATTTGTAACACCAACATGATACCTAGGAGATAAACCTCTGGACATATCAGTCAGGGCATTTCTAGAAAAGTTTAACTATGGTCAGAAAACCTAGCATGTGTGTAACCAGTGCCATTCCTTGGAGCACACCATGGGCTGAATATAAGACAGAAAGAAAGTCTTACCCCGGTATTCATCTTTCTCTGCTTCCTACGTGTGAATGCAGTGTGGTTGGCTCTCTCAAGCTCTTGGCTTCATCCCTTCCCTGTTATGATAAACAGTATCCACAAACTATGATCCAAAATAAACCCTTCCTTCCTTTGATTATATTTCTTATGCATTTTGGTATAACATTGAGGAAAGTAACCAATACAGTTGGTCAAATCCTTTGGCCCCTCAAGCCTGAACTTTGCATATTATCCAGATAAACAAACCATATTCTCAGAAAAGGAACTGGAAAATCCCAACAGGTATGATTTCATCACAGGGAACTGTCTGAAGAAATATCAGTATCAAATATTTGATATGTTATACATTAGTCACAATCAGCAGTCTTCAAATAATGGAGTAAAAAATTTAAAGGAAAAATATTGTAAATAATCACTGTAGGTACCATTGAACAAATTGGTACAGGAGGCTGCTTCCTGAACATAACAACAGTAGTACAGACACTGAGGTTGAGAATTAATAAATGGGAACTCCTGAAACTGAGAAAGACATAGTCAACAAGACAAAACAGCAGCCCACATAATGGGAAAATATCTTCACCAACCCTACATATGACAGAGCTGATTTCCATAATATATAAAGAATTCAAGAAGCTAGTCACAAAAACACCCAATAATTCAATTAAAATGTGAGGTACGGAACTAAATAGAAAATTCTCCATAGAGGAATCTAAAATGGCTGAAAGACACATAAGAAAGTGTTTAACATCCTTAGCCATCAGGGAAATACAAATCAGAACAACTCTGAGATATCATCTTACTCCTGTCAGAATGGCTAAAATAAAAAAAAAACCAATGACAGTTTATGCTGGAGAGGATGTGGAGAAAGGGGAACACTCTTCCACTGCTGGTGGGAGTGCCAACTCATACATCCACTTTGTAAATCAGTATGGTGATTCCTCAGGAAAATGGGAATCAGCCTACCACAATATCCAGCAATTCCACTCTTAGGCATATACCCAAAAGGTGTATATTCATACAACAAAGACATCTGTTCAACTATTTTCATAGCAGCCTTGTTTGTAATAGCCAGAACCTGGAAGCAACCTAGATGCCCCTCAACTGAAGAACAAATAGAGAAAATGTGGTGCATTTTCACAATGGAGTACTACTCAGCAGGGAAAAAAATGGGATCTTGAAATTCATGGGAAAATGGATATCACTAGAAAAACTATCCTGAGTGAAGTAACCCAGTCACAAAAAATACAAATATGTTATGTATCGAGGCTATATAAGGAAAACAATATGTTTATCAGAGAGAGAGAGTCGCGCATACCAGGAGTTAGAAGCGTGGCTGGCTTCCAGGAGAAAAAGGGAAAGCCCCTTTTCGTTTCACTTCCTTTTATCTCTACCTTGGCCCCGCCCTGTTGGGCGGATAGCTTTGTGGGGTTCACTCCTACAATTCCCCTTTTAGTCTAAATAGAAGATTTAAATTTGATACAAACTCAAACATATACAACATATATACGTAGAGGGTGATAATTAAGTTATAATCTACTTATCCTAAACTAAACATATCCATTCCACCTAAATTCTAAACTTATCTGAAAGGGATACCTAGGTCTGAACACCTCCTTCCAATACTAACCCTAAAATAATTGCAAAGTAACACTAACAGGTGTAAACTATCCTCTAATATCCATAGTAGGGAGAGGGGATGTGGAATTCTCAAATTTACTTCCTGCTGAAGTGGGACGATGACAATCATGGGGACCTGTGGGAAGAAAATTGTTAGTGTAACAAGAGTCTTAAGTAGGTCAGTTAGTCTCTGTTTTGCAGGAGAGGCTTGACTGAAGTTCCGGATTAGATTTCTGATTTTGATTGAAGCTCTTGTCTGAATCTCTGATCAGATTGTAGAAGATGCACTGTATCAGTTCCTTGGCCTGATGATGCGTCGAGTGATGTAGTTCCAAGCTGGTTTCAGGATGGTGCCTGTCAGGTGGGGTCGATGATGTGGGGCAGTTTAGATGTATCCAGTCGAATCAGGCGGAGTCAGGAAAGTGAATCCACATTCTCTTTCTGAAGCAGTTGAAGATCGCTGTCAAGAAATCCCTTTGTTTCTGGAAAACTGAAATATTAATGTTAGCACAGAAATTCTTAACTTCTATGTGTATGAATACTTGGAAAGGCAACCCTAAGGAAGATAATACACACGAAGGAGATTAGAGTTTTAGAAAAGAATCAAATATGCACAGATGACAGTCCCCATATATGCATATCTTTTTTGTTGTCGTTGTTTCTGTCTTATATCAATGGCTCTTTGATATAATACAGAAAGTCTGAATTGCATTTTAACAATATGCTTGGGTTTAAAGCAGGAGAGCCAATCCAAATCCAAAGTCAGCAATAATTAGATGAACTGGGACTTAGGCATATTAAGAAGTGGAAGAAATAGAAATTATAATAATAAAATACAGAGATTTAGACATTGATAACGCATCATATTATTACATGTTTGGTGGTCCTCTGAGTAGCTATCCTTTCTTCTTTAGGTATCCATATACCTAGGATTTTTTCACTGTTCAGAACTAATTGTCCTGTAAAGACACAAACAGAATACTTTTCTTTCCTTTTATGAGGTCTCCTTATACTTAGCAGACCTTGTAGATGAGCTGTCATCCTTCTTTCTCCTGAGATGGAAAGGAAAAGACTAAACAAATCCAAACTCTTCATCTTATAATGCTAATTTTAAGAATTTTAAAGATTTATTACACAAAGCACTGATATTTCTATAGTTATACTGCAGTTTCACACTTATTCAACATTAGTTTTTGGTAGCCTCTGTAGTCACTATTTTACATGTATTATACTACTCAAGCATGATAACAATACTGAGACATAATGACCACATTTTATATATGAGGCCACCGAAACTGCGAGAGGCAAATTATTGTAGAGATGGCATTAGGAAATGACACTTCCAGGGTCATACCCATGTTTCTCTGATTTGGAGGTCCATGCCTGAATCCCTGAAAAAGAACAACCATGAAATTCAGTTCAGCAAAAATAATTCTTGAAAATGTTAGTAAAAACACGAACAGAACCACATTAAAATGTTTTCATGTTGACTTATTTATTGTGGGGATGGGGGCAGATGGGCATGCCATGGTAGACTGTGAATGTCAGAGGACTGCTTTCAAGAATATTTTTTCAAAATTTTTAATTTAAATTAGAAACAAGCTTGTTTTACATGTCAATCCCAGTTCCCTCTCCCTTCCCTCCACCCCTATCCCCCACTAGCCCCCTATCCCATCCCTATTCTGCTCCCCAGGGATGGTGAGGCCATCCATGGAGGATCTTCAAAGTATGTCATATCATTTGGAGCAGGGCATAGGCCCTCCACTGTGTGTCTAGGCTGAGAGAGTATCTCTCTATGTGGAATAGGCTCCCAAAGTCCATTCGTATACTCAACTAACAATCTAAGCAATAGTGGAGGGGCTACCTTGCCCTGACCTGCGGGACATTCATCATGGGAACTGGGGGACATCTAGGAGAAAGATGGGTGACAAGAGATACAAGGAAGAATAACAAGTCAGGATTCTTATCAAATCGACAACCTTTATTTCATCCCAAAGTAATTTATATAGGAGAAGGGAGGAGAGGAAGGAATGGGGGGTGTACTGCAGCTGCAAGGAAGCTGGCAGAGCAAGAGGTCAGTGGGAGGGGCAGGTCATCCTGTGTCCTCTGGTAGCCTCTCTTTCACAATCTCCCTTCTATTGTCTAAGCCTAAACACTAGTGGCTTGATAATTTACACTAGTTCTTGGAACTTGCATCCTATTTTAAGAGGCGGTATTTCTGCAATGTAACCTGGAGTCACATCTTCTGTATGAGGATGTGATGGTGCTATGGCTGAATTATGGTGAAGGCCTCTGACACTACCTTAAAAACCCTTCCCTGTTTGAGGACTACCTTATATGCTATCCTAGAGCCTTCTTCATCCAGTAGCTGAAGGAAGGAGAATCTAGTTGCAGAGAGGGAGGAGTGATGAGCAAAGGGGTCAAGACCAGGCTAGAGAAACCCACAGAAACAGCTAACCTGAACAAGGGGGAGCTCAGGGACCCCAGGCTGATAGCTGAGAAGCCAGCATAGGACTGACCCAGACCCCCTAAATGTGGATGTCAGTGAGGAAACCTCAGCAATCTATGGGGTCTCTCGTAGTAGATCAGTATTAATTTAAGCTTTCAAGAACTTTTTCTCTCTCTCTACAATGACTTGGATCTTACATATCAAGCTCAGGTCATCAGGCTTGCTGGTATGTGCCTTCCCCCCCCCACTGAGCAATCTTACAGCCCTAGAAGAACATTTTAATGACTCATCCCACTACTCTATTATGAAAGACTCAGTCAGTAAAGTTGTTTGTAATAACATGACAAATACTCACTACACAAATTTCGAATGTAAAGAAAATGATATTAATCCATGATATCATAAAAAGAATGAAGAATGTGTGCGGGAGGTGACATAAGGCTGAAACAGGAATATGGTGCAGCATGGTCACACTCATCTATTGAGTGTAAACATACTGCTTCATAGAAGAAGGTTAAACAAGGCTCTCACTCTTTCAAGTAGGGATGTCAGGAGAAGAAAGGAGCAGGGCATGCTCAACAGGGATGACATAGTTTCCAAGAGTAAGGTCTTGGGTTCTGTTGTCACTATAGTCTTGTGACTATAGTTAATAATATTGAAGTAGGTACTTCAAAACAGCTAGAAAAAAGGTACTAAATATTTTACCATAATAAGTTGGTAAATGAGCCAGGCATTGGTGGCACATGCCTTTAATCCCAGCACTCAGGAGGCATAGGCAGGAGGATCTCTGTGAGTTCAGGCCAGCCTCGTCTACAGAACAAATTCCAGGACAGCCACCAAAACAATACAGAGAAACCCTGTCTCAAAAAAGCAAAATAAATGGTAAATGTAGGAATGGATTATGCAAAGTACTGTGGTTTGAGTATTAAACATATATACACACACTAAAAAATCACACAAATACTGACAAACATGTACAATTATTTGTCAACTAAGAAAAAAATTTAGTTCTTTGGATTGAGACTTGATGCATATTAGGCAAGCAGTCTACCATTAAACTGCTTCCCTAACTTGAAAAATAGATTTACAAATACACTTACTACTTCACATAGATATCCATGAAACAATCTATTCTAAATGTGCATATTCTAGATCATAAAGTCATAGGTGATTTTTCTTTCTTATTTGTTCTTTTCAATATGTTCAATATGTTATTTTCAAAGTAAAAAGGAAACTCATGAAAGAGTGAAGATCCAACTCTGAAACATAGCCACATTTAGCGGAACAGAATATGAAAAGAGCTTAGCGCTGGGAACCCAGGACTGGTGGTCTTTACACTTGGTGCGTCAGAAAAAATAGGGAACATATTCAATTGGCTTGTTGGACCTCCAAAGAGGTTTGACTCAGTATGTCTAAGAACAATAGGAACTTAGACTTTTTTTTTTTACTGTAGT